GTGGGAGATTGTGAGAAGAAAAGTCTCACATCAGGGAAATCTTAGTTTGACACTTCCTTTTCTTACTATAAAAGGAGCACAGTATTTACCTTGTAAGATGCACCAAAATCACTTCCTTTTCTTTCTCTTGCTGCTTTAGTACTTAAGAGATAAACTAAAGAGAAAAATAGTTTCTCTTTTTAGGTTCTCTTAGAGTTGTTTTTCCTTTATTTTCAGGAGAGGGTGTTATTGTTTCCTCCTTGGAGGTAGAGAGAGAAGAGTTGTAATTTCTTTCATTAGTGGATTTATTCTTTTGCCTATTGTTGGTGTTTTTCTCATCTTTTTATTTTAGTTGTGTGTGCTTATTCTTTTGTCTGATATCTAACAATTAGTATCAGAGTCAAGGTCACGAGTTCGATTTCTGGTGGACAATTGTTACGGGGGAGATTGTTGCGGGTTGCACAATTGTCCCGTGGCACCAGGTGGGCCGAGTCACAATCAAAGAGTGGGATTCCTTAGGACAATTACTGAGGGGGAGATTGTTGCAGGTTGTCCTGTGACAAAGGCTGGGTGGATCGAGTCACAATCGAATCGTGGCGCTTGGGTTGTTACTCTTAAGTAAAAAGAGTTTCACTCTGACTAATGGTTATAACTTTTGGCCTAGTAGTAAGCGTTCGATCCTAACAACATCCATTAGTATTCCCATCAGTTTCTGAAATCATATTGCACTAATAGTATTATCATCAGTTAACATGAATAACATTAAACTAAATAAGAAATGATAATAAATAACAATTAAGACCATGGTAGTTAGAATCACACTAATAACACTATTTGAGATTAGTTTAAAAAATCCTAATTTACGATATAATTTATTAAATGTATCGTTTTATACTTTGAATCAAAACTTGAATCAGATGAATCAAACTTGAATCATAGTATTCGTGATTCAACTCTGTCGTGCACGATTCTAGAATGTGTGTTTAAAAGAAATTGATGGGTAAGCAAAAGAAACAAAGCGACTAAACTTGTTATATATCGAGAAGGTAAGAAATGGTGAGAGTATACAAAAGCAGCAATGAGAAAAAATGCAACAACGATGCAATCGTGAAAAGAAAAACATCACGATGAGAAAAAAATACAACAAAGCAGTTGTGAGAGAAAAAACGCCAAGGTGCGCTACAATGTGGTGAGATGAAAGAGTACAAGGAGCGTTGTAGTGAGAAGAAAAAGAAGAAGGTGAAAATGAACAATGTATGAGGGGTAGTGGCAGATCTTGACCATTGATTTTGGGAAGACCAAATAATATATTATTAATAAATAATAAATAAATATAAAAGGGTGAAAGAAAATGAAAGGGTGAGAGGATAAAATTGTAAATGTATAAATAAATATATTAAATAATCAATAAGTTTGAGGGAACAAAATCATAAATTATATGAGAGTTAAGAGTGATAAGAGGATAAAATTGTAAATATACAAGTAAATATATTAAATGATGATTAAATTTAGAGGGCTAAAATCATAAATTACATGGGAGTTACAAAATTTTGGAGAGTCACGGTCCCCTCAGCTCCCAAGAAGATCTGCCACTGATGAGGGGTGTGATGACATTTACGGTTTACTTTTTTCTTATCGTGACATTGCTCCGCAACATTTTTCAATTACATTTGTATCATTATTGCATGCATAACACTCCTTTTTTTTTTTTACTTTGTCATTCAATTTATTATTTTTATTTTATTTTTGGTAATCTTTTTTTTTACTTTATCATTCATTTTTTTTTTATTTTTTATTCTATTTTTGGTAATCCTCTATGCAGGTCATTAAAATGCACAATGATCCATTACTTGATTTTTAATTTTATTTTAATAATATTTTTTGGTTACTTTAATTTTCAATTTGTTAAAAAAAATATAAATGTCTAAACACACCCAAGAGGGAGTTAATTAGTTTTTCAAATTCTTTTCAACTCTAATCAATTATCAAATAAATTTTTTTGATAATCAAATACAAAAGAACTAGAACAGTATTAAGATTAAAAGAATATTAATATAAGAAAAAGAAAGAAAAGAATACAAGAGTTTATACTTGGTTTGATTCTTTTGAATCTATATTCGATCTAACCAAGCAATCTTAGCTTGGAGTTTTCATTTTTAGTAACTAGATTACAACCTAACTTGATATTCTTGACTACAACAATATTTAATCAAGATCTAAACACAAATCACAACACTTGACAATATTTCTCCTCACAATTTCCATGCTAATTTGATCTAACTCACCTCACATACATCAAAAGATTCACAAAGAGAAAGATAAGAACGATTTCACCTTAGACTTTTAGAACACTTCATCCTATAGTCAAATAACATCTTATTTTAGTTTATCTTCAAAGCATTTTACAGAATCACACACTTTTCTTGATGCTCAGAACGTTCTTTCTAATTGTTTTAATCATTTCTAAAAGATGTATATAATTGAAGAAAGTTTGCATCTTTTTGTAAGGTTAAAATCGTTGTAATCGACTTGGATAATCGATTAACGTAATATCTAATCGATTATTTGCATGCAGATGATAGTTTGAAAATAATTATTTGAAAATTTTGAAATATTAAAACCAAAGAATTTAATTATATAAAATCAAGGTTAAATTGCAACTAAAAAAAACGATTACATTGAAAAATTTTCTAAATTGAATATTGCATAGTATTTATTATATATTTTTAATTTTTGTTAGCTATGTAATTTTTCCATAATCAAACACTATAAAAAACTGTTTATCGATTCTTTATTTCGTGTTTTATTCTTCTTTGAAATACACATTGGAAGTAAAGAATTATAAATATATAGTAAACTATGGTTCTCTCTCATAGTTATGTCATTGAACATCAAGTATTACAATGTTTAGTATATTTCTTCGTTTTTGCTATTTTCAATATTGAAAGAAAAGTACGTGTTTTGAATCGTAACAAGACAATCTTTTTATATATATATATATATATATATATATATATATATATATATATATATATATATATATATATATATATATATTTATTTTTATTTTTTTTTATTATGTCATCAAACTTGGCAATATGTTTCAAGAACTACACATGCTCATATGACACTATAACTATAAAGTTTATTTTACGGGGTACATATTTCAAATGTTATAATATCGGCACAAATTCTAAGAATGATATCACTGATTAAGTCAACTTTTCTTTTTAAAAGAACAGTAAAAGATGAGCATACCAAAGCAAAATGACTTAAAAGCATCTTGTACTGTTCTGCCTAATTTCAATTTTATTTCTAACAATAACCAGCTTGCATGAAGATTATAAATAAAAATGCTATGATGCAAATTCAAATAGGTAACATACAATTATCTGTTATGTATTACTTTCTAATTTAACTGATAAATTCAATTAGGTATAATAATTTCTAACAATTTTGTTCACTGAAAATTGTTACAAATTTTAATAGACTTTAACTAAACAATTTTTAAACACAGCCAAAAATAAATAAATAATAATCACTAAACGTAATAAACATTATTAAATTCAATATTATATCATATAACTGAAAAAATAAATTAAAATCATAAACAAATAAAAACGTTATTAAATATAGCAGTTAAATCCTGATTAAGATGTTCAATAATAATTTTAGTCTTAAAATTTAGGATAAAAAACTTTATTCTCTTAAATTTAAAAAAAATATCAAATTTAGCTAATTACAACATTAATTTCTAATCATTACATTTGAAGGATTATAAATAATTAAAAAAATTCATTTAAATTCTTTAAAGAAATATTTTATTTCAATTAAGATGATTAAATTCATAATCACTTTAAATTAAAATAAATTAAAAACATAATTACACTCAATTTTCATGTCATTTTAATAATTTAGATAAAATAATTCACTTCGCAATGAAAATCTAAAAAGAAATAAATCTATTGTTTCATGACCCGTCATTCTATCACGCAAAACATATTTTACCCAAAATAAATATAATTGCCCAGTATCCTAATAAAAATAATCACACTATTACTAAAGTTGAAACTTATACAAAAAACCCGTATTAGCCATCTTCAATCACAAATGAATTATTGAAATTAAAATGAAAATAATTATGAAATTATGGTCTCCTTTTCGATACGGACCAAGTTTTTACAACAATAAACGATAATTTAGAAAAAGTAAATTCTCCTCGCTTGTACTTCTTTCTTCCTTCCACTTTTTTTTCTCTAAACTTCTAAGGCTTTGACTAATACCAGATGAAGTAGATATCTTTGTATTTGAATGTTTTGAAGGTTCATCCGACCTTGACGTGATAGAGATAATTTATTTCATAGGGGAAAATATAGACAAGGGCGATTGAGAAGCGGTGGTGGGACTGCACCATATATTTCAGAAATGGCTAGAGATATCAAGATAGAATTAGTCCGATAGATTAGATTAAAAAAATTCATAAAATAAATTAAACATTAAAAAAAATTTGTTACCTTGATTGAATAGTCTAGATCCATTTAAGTTATAGTATATATAAAATTAAAATCCATTAAAATTGACACACTCATTTTATAAAATAATAACTATTTTATTAAAAAATATAAAATATAAATTAATTTAATAAAAATTTATTTATTCTAAAAATAAATATTTAATATAAAAATTAAAATTAATTATTATTTTAAATTAATAAATTATTAAAAGTAAATAATAATAATAATATTAATAAAACATAAATTTTTAATTCTTATTTTAATATTAAATAGATATTTTTTTATAATTTATATATTAAATTATTATATCTTAAATAAAAATTAATTTTATTAATAAAATTTAAATTTATTAAATATATTTTTATTTTTATTTAAAAAATATGTTAATATTTTTTTTTAAATTCAATTATACCAAAATTCATCATCAAATTTTTTATCCATTTTAAAATATAAATAAAATTGAATCATATTTTTTATCCATTTTAAAATATAAATAAAATTGAATCATCAGGTCTTCTTTGCTTCAGACGAAGTTGTCCTTTTGACACCTCTCGGAATGTCCAACATTTTCTTTACTCCAGGAGCTTTAAGCGCTGTAAAATGGGAAATAAGAGAGCAAATAGAGATTAGGAAAAAAAAAAAAAACATAATAAGGAACACTTGTATTTGTACTTTACAGTTCATCATAGTGGACAAGCATACTTTTGATGCATTAAAACTTAGTCGATACATGACGTTGTAGACCTAGTGCAATTTTTTCCTTTGTTAAGAAAGTTTCGGTCCTGTAGTTTTTTTTTTTCACTCAGTTTAATCCCACCCCTCGGGGGATAATTTCATCATTGAAAAATGACATTAATTTAGTCCTTAAATCTCAAAATTTAAACTCGAGAACAATTTTGACAACATGTTCCATGACTATGCATTCAATTTTTTGTCAAATTCACTCCTTTTTAAATAAAATCAGTCCTCTAATCCCAGTCACACCAATGACATCAACAGAATGTCGACAAAGCCGAATGATTTACAGTAAGTGTACTTGTACACGCACAAGTAAGATGCTAGATAAAGTAATCTTGTTCTTGATTCTCAAGTAAATTTCCAAGGGCTAATAATAAGGGAACAAAATATCTGATTACAATCAAAAGACCATAATTATGAAAATCTCAAGAAAATCGTCCAGACAGAATGGTTTAAAAATTCTGCTTCTGAAACAAATAACTAAAAGTAATAACTAAAATAGAGGACAGGAATATTCTTACACGTCCTAAGATTGAGAGAACAAAACATAACCCTAATGTAAGATAGTTGTGATTTTATATGAAGGTATTGATTGGAGCTATGATCATTTTGGTGTAGCTCATAAAGGAAGCAGATTTTCTAGAAGGGACTAACAGCTAAATGAAAGACAATCAAGCTATGAATGATTGTAAGAGGCACTCAGCTTCATTGATATGTTTAAAACATTGGATCACTCAGTATAATTAAGAGTGCAATACTGTAAGTGCATCGAGTGTTTTGTATCACATCATGAATAGAGGGAAGTCTGCACTCGAAAAGAATACCATGATTATGGGGAGCCATGGATTCTTCAAATTCGTGCACTATACATTCTAGCCTACCTAAATGCAATCATGATTGGAATCAAGGCCCAAAGCAATATGCATTTCCAGAAATTCAGGTTTCTGCCTATTAAAGTTGTGAACATTGGAAAGACAGTAAAATTGCAAATGAAAATGTTCAAGAGCCCTTACCAAGTCCATATACAACTGAAAACAAACTTGATGTAACCCAGTAGCAGAATATTGCCTACACAATTATAAAGGAAAACAAGTTCAAACTACATAGAATGCCAAACGAAGCGAACATGAAGCAGTAAAGAGAAAACAGGAAAGCTCTCTTTTTCTTTCCCAATTAGCTAAACACCATTTAGATATTACAAACAAAATAAGTATATAAACCTAAAACATGTGGATGAAATATGGAAAATCAATAGCCTACCTATATCAATAGCATACAAGGCATGGGTTGCAACCTTTGCTTTGCAATGATACAGTTCAATAAGGTAAGTAACATTATTTTTTTTTATATAATTATTAAGGCATCTCTTTCCGAATAAACAAAGAGAGCATTTTTTCTAAGTTTCTGGACTAGATGGAAAGAGAGAAGTTTCTGTTTGATAATTTAGTCATGATGTTATGCACCATCCAGTCAGTCCCCACAACAAAACAACAATTGGGATTTTTTCTATAAGAGAAAATTGAGGGGGCGCGGGATTGTGATAACAATCAAGTTATTACCAGTACTTCTCAAATACACTTGTAATATTAAAAGAAATTATAAAATACTTTGAATAAAATCATACATACAACACACTTGCCAAAACCTTAGGCCCCGTTTGGGGTGGTCTTTAGTTACAAGATTTTAAACTTTTAAAACCAAAAGTTTTCAGCTTTTACTTTCAGTTTATTTTGGTTTCCATTTTAAGAAGCACAGGGCAATCCTTTTAGACCAAAACCAGCAAGCCACATAATTGTGTAAATAAACTCGTCCTTGTTAAAAATTGCTAGTAACACTTTCTGCAAAAAAATAGCAATATCATCCCAAAATATCTCCAGAATCACTAAACCGCAAGGTTAGCCATTTTGCAGAAAAATGGTTCAAATCTGCAACCCAACTAGTCTTGTACATACTTTCAATTTCAGAAAACATGTAAATTAGGTAGAGAGAGAAGGACAAAGAGAGAAAGGAGAGAGACGGCAAGTCAGAGAGAGATGAAGAGAGAAAGACAGAGATGGAGAGAGGAAGATAAAAACTATTATGTACAGAACATTGAAATCAAATCTGCAACCCATCTAGTCACGTTTGTATTTTCAATTTCAGAAAACATATAAACAACTAGAGGGAAAGAAGGAGGAAGAAAGTGATATGAATCACAATGGATGATTTAGGATCTTTAAGGTTAGAACCTTGTAGGAAATTTAGGAATTTAGTGATAAGGTGGAAGGAAAAAATCACTCTTTCTAAAGAAAGCAACTCACAAAGGATGTGAAAGTTCTATGATACAGTCAAATATTCTTGAATCACTCAAGAACTTAGGAGAATCACTCACACTAAGATAAAAGAGATAAACTCTAATATTTCTGATAAAAATGGTTCATCTTATAAAGACTGATAACTAAATTTCCAATTGGACTCTTATTACAACTTGCAATAAAATCAAACTAAAGTCCATTAATTGATTAATTTAAAACACAATTTAGTCAACCAACAATACTTGTTGAAGAGTTTCATTTGTTTCCCTTACTCTAACCCTTATCATAGGTCATGCTCACATCCTCAGAAAGGGATGGGGAGAGAGGAAAGTGGAGAGAAAGGGGGGTGGAGACACAGAGAAAGAAAGAAAGAGGAAGACAAACCTATAGGAGAGGTAATACTATAGCGAGGCAATGTAGAGGCTTCTCAAAATTTAAAACTCAAAATAAGAAACGTTTCTCAGAAAGAAAGGTAAAAGGTAAAATGGTTTCCAAAAACTTAAAATTAACAACCACCCCAAATGGGGCCTTAGTTAGAATCTCATAGTCCAATTTGATTCAACAAGTCAGCAATTCAAATCATGCGATTAACCCCACATGTGACCTTAAGTTGTGAAAAACGTGGATTAAACAGTGCAATTTCATATCACCCATATGAAACATACAATAATTAAGCAATTGCTACGTTTACCTTTTTATTTTCTTTCACTAATTTTCATAAAATATAAAAATCAAAAGTGAATTATGTTATATTGTTTACAAAAAGAATGTAGGACCAGACAAAACAACCCTAATTGATAATTTATCTGCTCTGTTTTCATTTTTCTGAAATGGTTTCACATATCTATCATTCATTTTCTGCGTTGTATATAGCTATTTCATTCCTATGTTTCTTTTCTCCTAATATAAATGCTTTATACACCTGGTTTGGTTTGTAAGACTTATAGTTAAATTGTTTTGTAGTTCAAAACTATTACATTGAGCACTATATATATACACACACACACATATTGAAAATCAATTTAATAACCTTGGTCAAAGCATGAATTGCCCCTTGTGTAACCACCTGCTACATTGCTTAAGGGATAAGGGAAGGGAGTGAGAAAACCAAGGGAGGGATTTGGCAATAAAAGGAAGGAGAAAGAAGCCTCTTTTTCATAGTTGCTAGTTACACTTGCAAAACTACCAATCAATAAGCAAACTATTCAGTGTGTTTGGAACTAGAACACAAATACACCGATGCACGTAAAAAAAAATGTAGTCTTTTGTGTCGAGACCCATTTTAACATGGTGTTGGAACATGGTTCAACACGCAGATAGTACAGCAATTTATACTGGAACTTCAGAAAGAACTACTGTTTTTTTGGAAGTTCATACTACAATAATTTTTAAATGCAAAAAAGTGTAAATAGTTGTTTTTGGAAAAAACTAAGCTAGGATAGTTCACCTTAGGAAATCCGATGGAGAAAGGAACTGTAAGAATCGCAAAACCCCTGTAGACATTTTTCATGGTCCAAATTCCTTCCGTCTCTTGCATATGACACTAAGGAACAGTATGAAATCAATTAGTCCATATTGGAACCAAAATGTATCAGATCAGACCACTCGACAACTCAAAAAACGTTGAATCATGAATAATAGAAAGTCAACCCAGAAAGAATTACAAACAACGTATAAAGTTACTGAAAAGAAAATGCTCACCTCTACAGTCATTAAGAATGACAATGCAGACAAAACTGGAAAAATGTACAAGGCATCTGGAGTAGAGAGATCAGTAAACCAAAAAGCTCCACCATGCTTGAATGATGGCACTTTTTCAGCCATGTTTAATATCTATCTTTAAACACAAAAATGAGAATGGATACAAACAATATAAAATATCTTCACTGTTACAACTAAGTAAAATATCAAATTGAAACAGCTTACCGCAAGAAAAAAACTAACAAAAATAGGGCCTTGAACAAAGAGTCCCTTTAATGGCGTAAAAGGGCTCACACCATATCTGCAATTATCAAAATCAAAGGAAGAAAATGTTTAGTCAAACAAAAGATCCACAAACTGAGATATTTGACTGAATGCTAAACCTACGAAGTTCTGACTCCAACACAGACACAGCCGATATCCAAAATATTTAGGATATGGCAACACCATTCACACACACACACATATTATCAACAAGACACAAATCTCAATTAAGTATTATGATTTATATAATGTACACTATAAAAACAAATTTGCTAAGTCTTACATTTTTTTTTTTCAATATTAGCAACCCCCGCAATAGAATTCTAAGAAACATCTCTTAAGAGTTAAAATAACACGATAAGTCATATGGAAAACACGGACACAGCGGATATCCAAAATATTTAAGATATGCCAACACCATTCACACACACACACACACATATTATCAACAAGACACAAATCTCAATTGAGTATTATGATTTATATAATGTACACTATAAAAACAAATTTGCTAAGTTTTACATTTTTCATTTATTTTCAATATTAGCAACCCCCACAATAGAATTCTAAGAAACATATCTCTTAAGGGTTAAAATTACAAGATAAGTCATATGGAAATAAACATTCAAGAAAATTACGAGCTTTGCATAATTTATAATAAGTTGTTTTCCTTTAATTTCTTTTTTGTTATCATAATACTGTCTAGGAAGTGATTAGCCAAGAATAGGTGTCAGTTCACTTTTTTTATTCATGCTCAATTCGGTTAAATAGGTCGCCAAAATGTGTCAGCGAGGTTTCTAGAGCTATGAAGCACCATCTTCAGAAACAAACACCAAAAATGAAAGTGGAATAGAAATGAAGAGGTCACGAAAATATTATCAAAGATACTTTGTAGAAGCAAATTAAGAAATCACTTACTCCTTAAATAGCTTCTTCATCTGCGCCTGACCTTTAGCAACAGCAACGGGATCCATAGCCTGAAAATTGGATGTTATTGTGATCAGAGAGAAAGTTGCTTTTGATAATAAATGTAGTAATATCCAAAACATAAAATATTCTCCAAAAGCCACAGATGAGGTAAAGTTTGAAGGTTAAAAAATATACAGCATGTTCAAACATTATAATTTACATATACTGCAATGTCATTCGTCAACAGGAACAGGCAAATTAAGAGAATGATCATCCAGCAATCAAGGTTTCTTACATACAAATATATAAATAAATATGCAACAATTGAAGAATGAATTCACATATATGTTTATATAGAACAGAATAAATATTAAAACATAAAAAATTAACACAAATTTAGAAACAATGTATATTCTGATTTGAGATGCATTTATTCATTTAACAAGATCTTTTATTATCTAGATGAAATCATTACTATCCGTTGCTTTTCAGTGCACCATCACAATTGAGGCCTATGAACCATAAATCAACAAACATAGCTAAAATGTCATTATGATGATAATGGTGGTGACAAGGTATGGAAATGATGGTGGCAATTGCAGTAACAATGTATTATTTGGTGGTGTCAAAAGAGATTTAGGTGAGACATGTTTTGCCGGAGGTAACAATACTGATTGGAGCAGTTGTGATGAAGACGATGGCAGCATTAGTCAATGCTGACAATGAAGTGGATGTGGCCTGCTGGCAGTGGTGGTGGCAATGTGATAGAGGTGGTAGTGGCAGCAATGGTGTAAGAGGAGATGGTGGTGATGGTCTAGGCATGTTGCTAAGACAGTGGTTGTTGCAAAAGAAGTAGGATCCTACAGGTGGTTATCATGAAGGTGCTGGTGGCAGTAGCAGTGGCAGCATGAAGAAAATGATGGTGGCGAGAGTTTATCAAATTCAGGTAAGGATGACTGTAAACAATGGGACAAAATATATCTCCAATGTTTTAAGCTCTCTTGGAAATGCAAGGTCTATGCTAATAATAATTATGAAGAGTGTTGTTGAGTTGATTCTCAATTCCATAGTATTGCCAAATGGAATTCCAATTTTACAAGGCATCCAAAGATGAAATTTAAGCTTTGTTTGGATTAATGAAAAGAAATGGCATGGAGTGGAATGCATCTCTTTTCATTGTTTGGATATGTTAAATGGAATAAAATCTTCATTCTACTGTTTGGATAATGAATGGAGATGAAAACATTTTTTTATGACTATATTACCCTTATCTTTAAAATATAATATGCAATAGTATATTTTTCTCTTCTTCTTAGCCACTTCTTTTCATCAAATTCTTAGAAGAATATGAAACCTATTAAAGTCTTCTCATGTGAAAAACTAATCCTTTTTGTTAAGTTGGCTTTTAAAGAAGATCAACTATCAATAAGTATGCTAAGAGAAAATTATTGTTGTAATAGAATTATTGTCATGACATATAAAGATGGTCAATTCATTGCAGTGCCCATTAATGTAGAACTAACAAATATTAACATGAAAATAAGATTAGTGTCAAACAACATAACCGAGAAATGGACAAGTGCTTTTAAAATAACAGGTATTTCTATACTTCAATAGAAGTAAAAGCAATTGTTTAGTTTTAGGAATTCTCAACTTCTATAAAGTATGACTGCCAAATGTTAGATTTTCGGGCTTGTGTCAAGCTGAAACTGTGAAAGTACAATTGTGCTGGACCATTGCATCTATTTCATACCAGTGAAAGCATAATATGCTATATAATCCCCGCTAAAAAAACAGTACATTGCGCTGGAAGCTCTTTGCATTTAAAAATTGCGCGAGAAGCTTAATACCTTCAGTTGTGAAACAAGAAACTAGAGAATACATTGTGCACAAAATCTAGATAGTGGTTGCTTCTATGGTGTTTGAGTAGAAAAGAGCTAAAAAAATAAATTATAGTTAAATACAAAAAATTCATTCCATCACATTACACCAGATTCGGGAGGTAAGAAAATATGCTTAAAATGATGTAATGAGCTCCATCAATTATCTCTGGTCTCTCACCACTCCCACATTCTTTATCTCCTTGCTCTCTTGTCTCTCTCCACACTCTCCTCTTTTCCCACTCTTGTTCTTTCTCTCTCTCTCTCTCTCTCTCTCTCTCTCTCTCTCTCTTTCAAGCTAGAAAGGGTGATGATGGTTGAACAGATTTTACTTATATTAAACTGTTATTTTGAATTTTAAATTTAAAGTCACATTTAAGCCAAATGAAAATGCTTATGCTATACATCATATAAATCATCTTGGAGAAAAAGAATTTAGTCACAGCGTACAGGGCAAAGGACATTAGTTAAGTGGAATTGTTTATTTTGATTCCCAAAGATAGATAAACAAACTAAAATCTTCAAACAAATGTTAGTCAAACTAAAGTTTATGAAAAACGGGCAACAGAACGTGTGAGGCAACCCTATTATAGAATAGCATAGCACTATCAACAGTAATAACAAATTATTTGAGGATTACCATCCTATCCATCTGTTGCTTTATCTCCTCCAAGCGAGGCCTCATTAACTGTTAAATACGTGAAAGAGTTAGCTTAGGTAACAAGATAGATTAGAGTGTGCAGAAAAATACATTATTGATATAACAAGCTCAAGGACCTTTAAGGAAAACAGAATAGAAAAGATGGAACAGAACGGTCAAGCTAGAATTAACCTTCCAAGTCATGTTAAGGAGATCTTAATCCTAAAAGGGAATGCATACTAAGGGAAACAGTTTCCCCAAAATATATGAATTGTGCGGGAAGGAGGAAGGTACAAGCGAGAGCCACTCCCACTATTTTAAAAGGAAACAAAGATGAAGTTAAGAGCAACATAATATACCCTAAGTTTAGCGGTGGCCTTAAGTTGATTTATTAAGAGTGGAACTGTAGCACTTCGAATCAACAAGGTTGTAAGAACTATTGATGCCCACCTGAAATAAAGAAGCAATAAGAATAATAATCACCATTGAAAGCCTATGTGCCACCAAATACTTCCTGTATTAAAGGAACTGACATAAAATAAGCTGAGATACAAATTTAGAAATATTAGAGGAAACTAATTCTGGACCATTTTGGTATTTCCATTAGAATTCGGGATTATATGTGTGTATAAATATATATCCATATATTATCTATCCATCTATCTATATATAGAGAGAGAAAGAGAAAGAAAGACTCACCAATTTAGGCCAGTATAGGAATGTATAGCATCTATTACGTACTGCAACCCCATTACAGGCAAAAAAGAATCAGCGGCAGCAATTGCAACTTCATTAACGGTGGCAGCCTGAGAAGCTACAGTGTCTATGGTAGCATCAGTAAGGACATCAGCTACATCAGTGATTATGCTACTATCAATGTTCTCTGAACCCTGATTCACAGTAGACATATACCGGCAGAAACCATATCCAGTGCATGGAGAAAGAAATTTATCTCGGGAAGGAGAAAAGAACCCCAATGGTGCATTAAGAGAGCTTCCAAAGGACCTTATTTGGGCAAAATTACTAACGCCTGCTGAAGATGATTTTTCATCAGACTTTTCCCGTCTACCATCATCGCTATGGAGAACGTAACTGAAGGACGGATGGCACCTCCGATCTACAAGGTTCCCTCTTATCAAAAGGCATCGCCGATAAGCCATTGGTATTACTGGCCAGTTCTATGAAAAAGCATCAAGTAACAAATTGAGTTCAGATTGTGCCAATATAACAAAATCCCCAGTGCACATACTTCAAATTGATCAGAAATTCTTATACCAATGAATCGGTTGAAGCATATTTTGTATACAGTGAGAGAGAAGTGCGGTTGGGCGGTCATCCTAACTTTTTTCTCTTTTTTTTTTTTTTTTTTTTGTGGCAATGGGCTGGGTCTCTTATAAACCCAAGAAAAGAACACAAACAATTAATATTAATGTTATGTTATAATTATTAAATAATAATTAATATTTATTTTAAAGTATTTTTTTAATAATTATTTCTTAAAATTACTTAATCTAAATAATTTTTATAACTTAATCTGATTAAATTAAATTATTAAATAAAAAATATATTTAATTTAAAAATATTTAATATTTTTAATTAAATGAATAATTATTTATTATAATAAAATTATTTTAAATTAATTATTTATAAATAAATAAAATTATTTATTATCATTATATTTTTAAATAATTATTTAATATTTTTTATTTTAATGTTATTATTAAATATTTATTTTAATATATTTTTATTAAATTTTAATATAATAATTTAATTAAATAGATATGATAGAAGAGAAAAAAACAAAAGACGTAAGATACGCAAAACTTCAGCATATTTCGTAGAGTGAGAGAAGAATATTTCGTATACAGTAAGAGACAAGTGCGGTTGGGCGGGAAACCTAACTTCTCTTTTTCTCTTTTAGGTAATGGACCGGGTCTCTTATAAACCCAAGAAAATATACAGAAACAATAAAAGTATCAGCTTAAAAATATAAATCCAGGTTAGTCCTGGGTCGGGCCGCGCAGACCCGACACATCTTCCACCTCTCGCAGCAGAGAGACGCAAGCTGCGCGGCTGCCGGAGCGAGATTTTCTCCATGACCGCCCCGCGGCGCCATTCCGCGATAGCCAAAGCGATCGTTAAGGGCCGCCATGTAAAACCCGTTTCGCCACCGCCTTGCCGTGGCGGACGACCAAAAAGCCTCTCGGATTTCCGCCATGGCCCTTTTTCAATAACACGGGAAGAAAGCAATGAAACAGAACTGCGAAAAGGAACGCACCTGAAATGCGAAAGAGATGAAAGGAAGTGACGGAGGACGATGACGATGGCGCAGCCTTGTAGTTGAGGCAGAAACGCTCAACACGCAGTGTCCAAGACGGAGGAGAAGAAGGGGTTTAAGGAAATTTATATACTTGATTCTGTAGCCTCGAAACACCGCCGTGAAACTGAGCGACCCCGTTTTGATCCAAATAATGCTTTTAACAATATCTAGGAATTGTTTGTCTAGGGTTTTTTTAAAACATTTTTAATTTTCAAACATTAAAAATTAAATAATTTTATAAATTATAACCTAAAATTGATCAGTAATAGTTTTATTTAACTTTTTTTATTTGTATCCATAATATTCACACTTCATTAATAGTTGTTATTTTTATAAAATTGTTTAAATATATTATTAACGATATTATATATATATATATATATATATATATATATATATATATATAATTTTTTAATAAAAAATTTTACTTTTTCTCTCACTTCATCCATTTCTAATTTTTTTCTCTTTTCATCTTTTATATCTTGTTTTTCCTCTCGCATTTACTTATTCTTCTAACTAAAATTATTATATTAAAAATTATAAAAATATTTTAAAATAAAAAAAAATAAAATTAAAAAATATCGATAAATTAATTATTATGAGAATAAATAATTTTATTTACAATGATGTAAATAATTATTTTATTATAATAAATCAATTAATAATCTAATTAAAATAAATAACTTTTTATTGATTAAATGTATTTTTTATTTATGAATTTAATTTAGTTATAATTAAGTTGAATAATGATGATTAATTAGATAATTTAAAAAAATATATTTATTAAAATGTTACTTTAAAATAATTGCTTAATTTTTTCTTAATGATTAATTAGTAACATAACAATATTATTTGTAATATTTCAAATTTATTATATAATATTTTTAAATATCATATATTAAATTATAACTTTTCTAAATAATTTAAATATTTTTATTTTTTATAAATAATAAAAAGGTTTATTTTATCAAATAAGATGGAAAGAAAGAGAAATAAAAATGGGTAAAAAAATATTAAATAAGGAAAAAAAATAACATCAAATTAATGAAGAGAGAAATAAGAAAACAATCGAAGAAAGATAACAAAATATACGAATTTATTTCTCATTATTAAATTTTGTATATAAACAATAAATAGGTCATTTTGTATATGAACAATAAATAGGTCATTGGGTAAATAACCTTACACATATTCTATTTAAGTAATTATTTAAAAAAAATATATTATTAATAAGATTTATTAGTATATAAACATTAAGGATCTATTTTTGTAAATAAATGGATAGATATTCTATTTAAGAAATTTTTCTTTTAAAATGTATTATTTATATGATTGATTTTACAATAATTACCATTATTTTACTATTGTTATGTTATAAATTTAAATAATATTAAATAGTTATTATTCTCAATATATAGAATAATTTTTTAAAGTATTTATGGATCAATAATAACAAATAAATAAAATACACATTATAATTTATAAATGAAAATATATTATAATTATAACATATTATTTTGGGTTGAATATATTTTATTTTAATATAAGTATCTATTGGATCATCCAAGTGTGAATTTAAATCTCACATTGAGTAAAAATAGAAAGTTGAGCAATAAAAAAGTAAGACTCATAACTCAATACCTTAAGGTTTGGGTTGAGAGTGGTGTCAATCTCTTATGTGGGTAGGTTTGACTCATGTCTCATTGGTGTAATTTCTCCCAAGTGAAGCCCCTCGAAAGACCCAACAGTGGTATCGGAGTCGATGATTTGCATTATGACCTAATAGTGGGTCAAATAAGCATGTCTTGTTATGATAAACGACGATACATGGAAGGGTCATGGAAGAGCCAGTATTGAGCTCGAGCTATCAAAATTCTTCCTAATAGTGGGTCAAGTAAGCATATCTTATTATGATGAATAACGATACATGGAAGGACCACTAGTGAACTTGAGGTGGTTTATGTGGTGACCAGTAGTTTGATAATGATTCTTGTATCCCTAACAGTAGGTCAGATAAGCGTGTCTTGTTATGATGACCATGGAAAGGCTACTAGTGAGCTTGAGGACATGTATCAATGTAGAGAAATTCACACATGAGGGGGAGATTGTTGGGTAATCCAAGTGTGAATCTAAGTCTCACATTAAGTAAGAATGAGAAAGTTAAACAATATATAAGGAAGTAAGACTCATAACTCAATGCTTTAAGGTTTTGGGTTAAGAGTGGTGTCAATCATTTATGTGGATTAGGTTTGGTATTATTTCTCCCCAATGAATCCCCTCCGAAAGACCCAATAGTATCTAATATCGAAATTCGTATAAAGGGAAATACACTAAATAACCACAAAGATAAAAGTGACTTTGTACAAAAGAAGAAAAGAAACAAAGACAATATATTATTACTCAACATGTCATTTCAACAATGTGCTTGTTTAGATGTCTATAAGCTTGAAAGATTCCCCTTCACTCAGTTAGTGTTCATTTTCTTCCATCCTTTTTTTATTTTGCGGATTTCTTTAGTTTTTTCCTAATAAGAAGTTTGCATATAACTTATTTGAGTGGTCTACAAAGAATCAATATTGCAAATGTACTCAATAAATTCTATTAGCAAATCCTATAACAAATGGAGCAGTTAAAATTTACACAACATCTCGTATAACTTAAGCAAGTAATAAACTTAAATATCACCAAATGAATGCCTTCATATTGGTTTTTTCCTAAGTGTTATGATAAAATAAATCAGTGGTCCATTTGGTCTCCTACATATGTAAAACATGTACAGAGAAAGTGATGTTTAAATTCCCTTAAAGATAGTTATATGGAACTTACTCTAACTTATATACCTACATAAAGTATGTTTGTACCCAACAAATTCATTAAACCTTTTAAAATTAGTCCAATTGTCCAAGGTCATGTCATATGTAACAACATGATTACAACCATCACATAAAAGTCATAATGGACCAAGTTTATCCAAAAATGAAATGGCAAAATGACGACCATGGTAATAGACCGTTTATATTAGGTTGATGAAAATAATACATCTTGAAAAGTCTCAAATCACATTGAATAAGCAATAAAGTGGGTGATAGTAGTTATATAATGGACTTAAAGTCCATAATATTCTCACCCCAGTCAAAAACACTTTAAGCTTGTTTTTTACTTTTTTTTTATACTTTTGTAGCAGAGTATTGTGAGGTTTGGTTTTGTTGAAAGTCCCACATCGCCTACCTCATATCATTGGGTATGGTTTAAATACATGTTAGGCTACTCCACATATTGCCAATTGGTTTTATGTTGGAACCTTAACATGGTATCAGAGCCAAAGCCTAACATCTTTCCGGTTATTGTCATGGGCCAAAAGTTGCCCTTTAGTTGGGTCAAGAGTACCCTTTGCCTGGTCCGACAGGCTTGGTTGGAGGGGGTGTGTTGAAAGTCCCATATCGCCTACCTCATATCATTGGGTATGGTTTATGAAAGTGATCCTAGCAAAGATCTCATTGATTTGATGAAGTCAAAGATAAAGTCAAGGGTCAACTCTGCAGCAGTCAAACAAGTCACTCAACAAAGGAGTCAAGACTTAGTGTGTCAAACATAGGTAAACCACTTTACCTTTTCCAAATACATGTTAGGCTACTCCACATATTGCCAATTGATTTTATGTTGGAACCTTAACAGGTTTAAATAATTGTTTTAGAAAGTGTGGGTGTATTTGAGGTCAAAGGGCATGGGAGAGTAGTCTCTGTGTTGTAAAAAATTTCACAATATTATTCTCTAGTTATTATTAGATAATAGTTGTGGTTTTTCTCCGATTTTAGAGTTTCCATGTTATATTGTGTTGATATTTTTCTCTTATTTCTCTATTAGTAAGGTAATTCTTGGGGATAAAGACGATATTTTTCTTCATGACCTTTTTTCCCAACAAAGTGGTATTAGAGCTTATGGTTCAGTAGGATATTCTTAGTATGCTTTGTGGTG